CCCAGCCTGAGCCCGGGCGGGGCCACATCCCTCGAAACATGCCACTTCTCCTTGGTGTAGACAGAGCTAATAATTAGCTGTCACGATTTAATAATAGAAAAAGATAATCCGTGCCACGACACATGGATTTAACCAGTCTTAATTTGGAGGGAAAATAACAACTCTAAATGTATCAAATGCAAGTTTTTCCCAGACAACCTGCGAGTGAGTTTATCTCCCATTTCCAGCACAAGCAAATTATTTCCTTTCTGCCACTGGCCAAACTAACATTCTTCTTTATTTTGCGTTTATTTTATTTATTTTTTAAAGTCTGAAATGAACCTTCTCAGAGCAGCACATAAGTCCTTCAGCTGATGAGAAGTCCTTCTTTCTCCAACAGTTTGCCCAGCGAGGGGTCGCCGGCACCCCAAACCAAATGTGCCCTCAGTGGGTGCCCTGCCTGCTGCGTGAAACGCCCACCATCCCAGGCGCGCCCCTCGACCTTCCTTCGGGGCTCAGATGCAGACTTACAGCGGGCGGGGCCATCGCAGCTGGGAGCTGCCTGCCACCTCCAGCCCAGGGGGACCTGCCACCTCCTGTCACCCGCTGCCTGTCTCCTGCGTTTCTCCAGAAATCTGACATTTGGGGTTTGAGGGGAGGAGGAAGGAAAGGCAAAAGGCAAACTTCTGAGTGACAGCTGATGGCTCATTCCTCCCGTTATAGCTTCATTTGGTGACGGAAGAGGTGGCAGCACACAGGAACCCAAGGACGCATTACCTGCAATCAAGAGCCTCCCCTCCAGCAGAATGGGAATTCTAAAGGGGCACCTGGAGAGGACGGCTGAGCCAGAGGGCTGAGGTAACTTCGAGGTTCTCACCGAGGAGAGCCAGCACCTCGTGCTACCAAGCAGGGCCCAGGCCACGCTGAGCTTGGCTCTTTGGAAGCTGCCACTTTTCTGTCATCTACCTCCTGCTGGAACCTGGGCTGCAACCGGCCTAACACAGAGGAGGAGAAGAGTGACTTGACTTGCCTGGGTGGGCACTGGAACTCCACCCTGGCTGGCCAAGGCCCAAGCCTCGCTGCTTTGACCCCCAAGACCCCTCCCCAAGGCGACACACCGTGAGAGCTTCACCAGAGGACAGTAATGGGACCAAAGATGGGGGCTGACAGAACGGGGACATGGTCCAGGGAGGCCCACCCTTACCCCAGGAAATGACGGAGCGAGGAAAGGCACTCACGTGTGTAGCACATGCCACTGGATGTCCAGTTACTGTTAGGTTTACCCCCAGATGCAGGGACTGCAGCTCAGCAGGTCGAGTCTCACTGCTGAGCCTGGCAGGCAGCAGGGTGGTGCACCCCTGGGCTGGGTCCCTCTGCATGCAGCAGGCCACAAACCCACACCCCTGCACCCCCTGGTCTCCTCGCCCCTCCTCAAAATGGCCATCCCAGAGAACAGCTCAGAGACTCCTGCGCAGTGCAAAGCCCGAAGCCCGCTGGTGCCCCGTCCCAGGGTCTGCCATCTCCCTCGAAGGACAGACCCCGAGGGCCATCGGAAAACTCACAGAGTCAGGGATCTTAAGAAGCAGAGAGACTCCTCCATCGGCGGACACATACTGGAATCAGATGCCAGCACCAGACTTGGACCTCTAGGCTGAGGCCCTTACCTCTGACCCTCTCCACCCACGGTCCCCAGATGGGACATAGTCTCCATGGCGCCTCCTCACCCACGGCGGACACTCAGGGGGCAGGGCCAGGGCCCGCAGCTACACCCATCAAGGGCAGGGGCACCACCTGTCTACCCCACGGCCAAGTTCTTCACGAGAGACAGAACAGCAGCCCTGACGGCCATCTTTCCACATGCTTCCAGCCCCCATCACCCCACGGGGGCCAGGTGGGGGTGCCGTGGGGGTGCCGTAGGTGCGCCGGCGCTGAATGAACGAATGAATGAATGAAAGCCCTACAGGAGACAAAGCTTCAGAAACTTCCTCCTTCCCCTCTCCTATTTCTCTATCACTTAAAACAAAGAGAAACAGTAACTACTCCCTTCACCCCATCTCCAGAATTCCGTCCCAGGGAAAGGGTCGATCCGGGGTCCAACCCTGACCAACAGAATCCCCACTCACTTCTCACCCTGGGGACACCCCTAAAAGCAGAAGGGACCCCAAGTATTTGCAGGCCAGCCCTGCCTATCCATTTCTGGAGCTTGGCTTCCAGAAGCACCTGGAGGACAATATGCAGACTGACTGCCCTCTGGGAAAAGCCTGGCCCTCCTGGCCACCGTGGGCACCTCACCTGAGATGGCCAAGCCAGAGGTGAAGCCCCAAGAATTATCAGCGGCTGGGCATGGGGACGGAGGTGCAGGGAAGGGCTGGAGCATCCCCTGCCCGCCACGGCGGGAGGCAGGCCCCAGAGAGGCCTGGGCGCGGCCCGCAGAGCCCGCGGCGGGTGGGGCTCCGGAAGCCCAGGCGGAAAAGTGATTCCTTGTCCCTCTCTTAAAATATAAAGACTCAATTATCTTTGAGCAGCTTGCTTTACACATGAATTGACACATTTATTTTACAATAAATAACTGAAAGTTATCTGTGTTTCCTTTACTGTTACTCTACACGGAGAAATAATAAACGGGGCTCGTCTGCAAAAATGCAGCCACTGCAGCCCTCGGAATTCAATTAAGCTAAAATAATTAATGCTCCCACCCTATCAAATGACTTTATACATTGGAGCCCCTGAAGTTTTATTCTTTAATCTTTCCTTTTTATTAAATAGAAAAAGTTGGTGCCAAAGCAGGGAGAGAAAAGGGGGGGAGGAGGGGACCCGAGAGCGAAGGGCATGACGGGCCGAGGAACGGACGGTCGCCTTCAGCTGACGGGGCGCAGGGTCTGTTTGGCGTCTTTGATTAACACGGCACTGAAAGCACTTTGAACAAACACATCTCTTTCGACTTCAAGGGATTATTTTGGGTATTTCTTCAAGAATGAAGAGATCCATTCATCCTGCTGCTGAACAGGGCAGGGCAAGGGTACCTGTCGTCACACAGGAAATAAAGATACTGGCGCTTCTGCAGCATCCCAACCCGGCGGGCGGAGGCGGGGGAGGACAAAGCGCCTTGGAGACGACCTTTGCCTTTTGTGGAACCATGTGTCCCCCCCTTCTCAGATGAGCCTGCCCCCAGGGGATCTGCGGCCTGTTGCAGGGAGCTGCCTTCCCAGGGAGATGGGGACTCCAGAGGGGTCAGCGGAAAGCCTTCCCACCGAGACATGGATCAGGGGCCCACCCCTGAGTGGTCCCCGGCGTTGACCCCACTCATGAGAACAGTCCTCGAGCGCCTGATGGAGGAAACAGAGGGTGGGGACCCCGACCACGCAGCACCCTTCCCCCCGGAAAGCTGCAGCCTCCGCAGAGGAAGCGCCACGCAGGCCTGCACACACCTCGGAACCAGAGTGTGCGTGCCTGCGGCCTGGGACCTTTCTCTCAGCGCCCCTGTACCTGCGGAGTATGTGAGTGCTCACGCTGGGACACACACCAGAAGGCCAGTGTCCCCACTGACCACTGCCACAGTCTCTGCACAGGACAGCTCTGGTCAATCCCATTGCACAGATGGGCAAAGTGAGGCCCACGATCCCAAAGCTGCCATGTGGCTGCTACGGAGAAGCTGGGCTTGCTGGGTCACCCTGTTCCACTGCCTCCTGGTGCCAGGAGTGCCTGCACACACCCATCCGTGTCCCCCATGGCCGTGGGGGACCCCAGCTCACCCTCCAGAGAGCACAAAACCTCAGTCCCTCCAGCATTCCCCCCTGGCTTCCACGTCTGAAGCACAATGGAGACAAATCCGCACGTCTTCCCAGCCGGCCGCCTACACCTGTCTGCACACCGCGGCACAGAGGGGCCTCCCGCAAGAAAAATTCCACTGGCAAAGCATTCTCGAAGCCACTGCTCCTGCAGTGCACCCGCAAGTGTGCCGGCGTTACCACATCCCGAGACAGGTGGGGAAACTGAGGCAGGGACCCGGCTGTGGTGATTCAAACCTCCTCCACACACGCTCTGCCGCTGTCTCGCTGTAGGACAGACTGCGGCTCTAGGGCACACAGGCTGGCAGAGCCCTCCTTTGCCCCCCCAGGTCTCCTGGGCTCAGAGGGGCGAACCAGAAGCAAGCACTCTGGGCGCACAGAGCCTGGGCTCCGCGGCAGGGGGTCCGGCCGGCGGTGGCCCCAGCCTGGAGAGAGGGCCCCAGTGCAAACCCGCTGCGGGGGGGGGGGGGTGTGGCCGAGCGGCTGGAGGAGGCCAGCCCCACACCTAGTCCTCGAATAGTAAGAACCAGTGGTCCAGGTGGCCGGCCAAGTGGGTGTGCCAAGGGCAACATCCTCCCTTCCTAAGGGGCACAGCATCCAGTAAGTGCCCACCAGCCCTTCCCCACACCTACCCGTAGGGACAAGACAGTGTCAGAAGGGGCCTCTTTGCACAGATGGGAAACTGAGACCAGAGAGAGGAGAGGGAGGGGGTGAATGCCATTCATAGGCACTTTGCCAGGACCACGAGCTCACGACAACCCTCACGGAAGAGGGCTCACCAGTGTCACCTCCCAGATGGCGGAACTGACTAGGCCAAGTTGTAAAGAACAGACTCCAACCCAAGACTATCTGGTTCCAGAGCCAGAGACGAGGCCACCAGGCCCAGCAGACTGAGGGCCAACCACACTCCCAAATCCCCGTGCTGACTCCTGGCTGCCCACGCCTCCGGCCGCACCTGTGCAGCAAGCGTCCCACAGCCAAAAGCAAAGCAACCACTAGCCAGTCAGGCTGCCCTGAACCCCGGGCCCGTCTCCTCCCGAAGGTCCCCTGGATGGTGGGCCTCGGAAAGGGCGCACCCGGTGGTAGCCCAGAGGCCACCCTGGTAGCTCCCGAGCTGTCCCAACCCCGACACCCCCAGTCGGAGGACAACCCCCTGACACAGCGAGGGGTGAAGGCAGGCATGGAACAGGGGAGACTGCGGCGGCACAGCCAGGTGAGGGCGACGCTCCATACCTGCAAGGTTCTCCTGCTTGGGGCAAATGCCTTTCGTGGGCGAGAGCAGGTGGTCGTCTTCGTCAGGGGTGACCTGGATCCCGATCTCCACTGGCTCGGACACTTTCCTGAGCTCGGCGCGTGAGGAGGGCGGCGGGCTGCCCTTGTCCAGGCCTTTGTCATAGCAGGCGCCCAGGCTGCCGCCACACTGCTTCTTCTTGTGCTCTATAAAAACCAGGATGTCCCCTAGAGGGAAGTTCATCTGACACTGTCCACAGGTGAGCAGGTCAGGGTCGGGGCCACCCACCAACAGCCCCAGGCCGCTGGGCTCCTCTATCTCCAGACCCTCGTCCTCTTCAAGGATGGCCGCTTCCACATGGTCAGCCTCTGCTGCAGAGAGAAAGGAGAAGGGAGGGCAGAGAAGACAGAGATGGGCTTAGGCAGTCACAAGCACCCATCGTGCGTTCCAACCCTTCCCCACCTCGAGGCGGGCCCCTCGGCCCCGGGAGGCCAGGGCGCACCGAGTCCTCCCGGCATTCCTGGAGGCAGGGGGTTCGCCTTCCCGCGGGTGGGCAACAGATGGGCACCCTGGGGCCCCAGGAGCAACAGCACGGCTCCCTGAGGCCATGGCTTCAGCGGTGCTGGCTTGACTGCTTTCCAGTTCCTTCTTTCCCAATTCCCCTCCTCCCCGAAGCCCAGGGACACGTGTGAGTGCGTGTGCACACCGCACATCCTGGCTCCACAGGCACCGTGGCCATCCCACCGTGGCGGCGGCAGCCAGAGACGAGTCTCCCTTTCTGCAGCTTTCGAGAATCACCTGGGAGCCAGGAAGACATTCCACACCCAGGCCAACGAAGGACCCTGGGATCCAAGCATCGGGTCGTTGTTTCAGCCTCCTGGGTGATCCCGATGGGCAGTCAAGGCCAAGGACCTCGAGCCGGAGGCGTCTGGCCCTGCTGGGCACCCCCCTCGCCTCCCCCTTTCATTCATGGCTTCCCTATTCATGTGTGGCCGACTTGCATTCCTCTACCTGAGACCTGGCTGCACACCAGACAAGAACACAGAAACCCAGGCAGCGTCAGCGAGCCAGGCCTTCGGAAAGAAGCCCACATGCTCAGAAAGCAACAAGCGAGGGACGGTTCCAAAGGAAACATCGAAAGGAAAATGAGCCCCTGGAAGGGACCCTGCGGGCGTGCGGGCTGAGAGGGGCAGCTGGCTGTCCCGTCCCCCCACCCCCCTCACCCCCCCCAACCTGGTCACACCCCTGTGCTTCCTGGGTTTCCCAGCCTTCCTCAGCGGCTCCGCCCTGTTTTACTCTCACTCCCTTCAAAAGAAAGGGGGAAAAAATTCTTCAGACTCAAAAGCATTTCTTGGCAGAGGACAAACCACACTTTCAACGGGTTGTGTGTTTTCCTATTTGTTGCGTGGTGGATATACTTCCTTTTTATTGTGGGGGGCAGAGGACCCAAATATTTTGGAGCTAATAAATGCCTCTAAAAGCAGCAATCCCCTCAGGGGAAGACTGGGCAGCAGAGAGAGTGTCATAAATCAGGGAGGTGGGCCAGGAGGCTGCGTGTCCCCCCGGGGGTCCGAGCAAATTCGGGGAGGAAGTTTCTGAGGGCGGATGTCAGTGGTGGGGTAGACGGCCCGCGAGTCAGGGTCTTCGAAGGCTGGAGACCCGAGGGGGCAGGTAAATTTTAAGTGGCGCAATGTTTAGGAAAGGGTGGCGGGAACCACAGAAGAACAGAGGGAAGGAAAGGAAGGGAGAAAAACACATTCCGTGGCAGTGAAGTTATGGGCGGGCCTGAGCCAAAGAACAGATAATTTAAGGGAAAAATTCTGTGGCATCCTTCATCCTACACATAAATCACTGCTCTGTGTTTCCTGGACACAGGCTTCCACAGGGCCTGTGAGTCCATGTGCAGGGCTGATCCTCGATTAGCTGGCCCACAACACGGAACACGCGTGAATGCGGAGTGTGGGAGCCCATGAGTAGGCGTCGCCGAGAAGAGGGGTGAGCATCTGAGGTCCTGCCTGGGGCTCTAGAAAAGCAGGCAGAGCCTTCGATGAACCCCACATAGACGCACATTCGCCACGTGGTCCTACAAAAACACAAAACTACCCGGTGGAGGAGGAGACCCGAACCCCATGGTCCACTTCCGTCCAACCAAAGGAGCCTGGAGCGTGCGAGACGCGGAGCTTGCCAAGCCGGCCTCCGCGACCTTTCACTGCACCTGACCAGGAAGTCAGAGTTCACTGACAGAGGGGCTTGGAAGGCAACGCTTCATCATTAATTTACCAATTTATTTTCTGCGAAGATGCTTGGCTGTGGTTAGGATGTGACTGCAGCCCTCCCACCAAACAGCGGCTCTGGGGGGGACTGGGTCCCTGTGAACAGTGCGTCAGAGAGAAAAGATAATTATTCGGAGCCTCTGCTCCCTTTAATGATCTAACATTGAGCAATACTGTTGATATTGAAGAGCTCACACCTTTAATTACCAATTACATATACGTAATTTCAGAGCCAAAGGAGAGGGTTGTGAAAACAGTTCTTTAGAAATATAAGGACGTATTGTGCGTCATTTCTAGAGACAGAACTCTACTAAATGGGAGGAGAGTGTCAAAATATTGTTTTGTTTTTTTTTAAAAAAAAGAGAGAGAGAAGCACAAAGGAAATGCTCTGAAAAGAAAAAAAGAAAAAAGAAAAAGAAAGAAAGAAAAGGACCACTTGGGTGACGGGGAAGGTGGACGAGACCCCGCTGAGAGCCCGGACAGCCTGGGCAGGCCGGCACGCTGCCCGTCCAAAAGGCCACTGGATACAAATAAACAAGGGAGACAGCGCCCCCCCCCCGCCCCGTTCCCAACCCCATCGTCCTTCCGGGGGGCGGGGAGGTGTCGCCTGCTGTTTAACTTCACCTTGGGCTCCGCTGGCTGCCTGTGTGTGGCTTTGCTCTCCATCAACTTTCCCAGCCCCAAGCCAGGCTCCCCTCCTTGTGCAGGAAGGAGTTCTAGAAGCACCAATAGCTCCTCTCTGCCGGGGGCGGCGGGGGGGGGGGGGGGGTCGGTGTAAAGGTACATAATTTCAAATTCATCTTGTAATTCCAAAGAAGCACAGACTGAGTATAAATTAGCAAGGGTCCCATGGGCCTGTTCGGAAGCAGCACCCCCTTCTATCTTTTGCTAAGGACTCTGCACAGTCTTCCTCATCCTTCTTTTATTTTTTTTGTAACAGTTGGTCAGCTTCCCTTGACTGGACAGCCCCTGCTGTTTCACTCTCCTTGCGCACCCACCCGCCAGCCCAGTGAGCCCCAGCAACCGCGTTTGAAAGTGTCCCACCCCCATTCACCGTGCTGCCTGCAGGTGAGGTCCCGCCTCCAGTCCCCTCCTGGCCAACCCACCTGGGCGGCGGGGTGGGCTGGTGTGACCAGGCCGCTCTGAACTCGGGTCCCCACCCCCTGACCCAGGAGCCAGGAGGCAAAGAAACACCCACCAGAAACTCTCCCTGGCCCCACTTGCAGTGTTGAAAGTAAAACTCCAGATGAAGAAGGCATTCGCCCAGCTCCAAGAATGGGGCTTCCTCCCCCCCCCACCTCCCGGGGTGCGGGCCTGCTGCAGGAGACGCTTCCCCAAGACTGTGGCAACGGCACCCCTGACGTCCAGGCAACAGAGGCACCCTGAACCCCCAAACTGTCCAGCGTTTGGGTCAGAGCAGAGGGACCAAGACAGCTTGCTGAGCCTTAAAAGCTCACACCCAAGGCACAGGGAGACACCCCAAAGTCAGGCTGTGGTTTCGTTTCCGCTGGCAGGCGGATACCAAGCTGGGTGTGTGTGCGTGTGTGCGTCCCTTCTGAGAACCGTATGACTGATGGGAGAAATAAAAGGGTGAAGAGCCACTTGGCAAAGCTCAGAGAAGGGCAAAGTAAAGCCACGTCTGGCCCCCCAGAAGCCTCTCTCCTCTGCCCCATGGGCACCAAGCAGCACGGCCTAGCACAGCCTCAGAGAGCCAGCCTCTGGGTGCCAGGCAGCGTGGTCCCAACTGCCACCCACAGCTGAGCAAGCTCCAGGGAAGAGACAAGCCACATGTGAACAGAATCGGCCTTTTGCATCCCCAGGCCCTGCACCCAGCCCCCTGCCGTGTCCGGCAAACTCAGGCCTCACAAAAAACAAGGCCAGAAGGAGGTTTTCCCGGAGAGGATGTGAGCCATCGTGGAAGGCGCCCCACGCCAGGTGGCCCTAGAAAATACTGCTGCTGAGGCAGAGAATTCTCGATGATGTTTGATTCGTTAACAGGAAAACAGGGATGGGTGCACAGGTCCCTGGTCCCCAAGCCACATATCAGGCGGGGGTGGGTCCTGAGATGTTACATCCTAAAGTACACGCACAATTCTGTGTTTACACACACATTCATTTTCTTTTTACAACAAAACCACATTTTATGTACAGTGCTGGGCCTCCTCCGAGCTGGTGAACGCATTTAGAAGCAATGAAATCAGGACTCACAACTAATAATGGACATGGCCGTTAAGTGCACGCGGAAGCGCTTCATCCTAAGACACACCGGCCCGTGCCTCCGCCCGGCTGTGACGGCGTTTGGTTAACACGGGCCCAGCCAGGCAGCCCACAGGCTCCCGGCAGCTGCGCAGGCTTAGCAGGGCCTTACCTGGCCCCTGATCGCCACCACACAGGGCCCCCGGGCCCCGCCCACCCTGGTCCACCTCTGACAACTGCCCTGGCACCTGCCCCTCGGGGAATTCCAGCAAGAGGCCCCACCTGCTGTCCCCAGGGCACTGCTGCACACACAGCACACAGCCCGCGTCCCCTCACCCTGCAGTGACTCAAATCCCGAACTCCGCCTTCCATGGCTAAGCCGCAGTCCGAGAGAAACATACTTGGAACCGCTGTTTCAGTGATGGGGGGGGGGGGGTTGCGTCGGGGGAATGGGGGGATAGGGAAGAGCATGGGGGAGGGGCGCCAGGGTCTTAAAAGCGTATGCCACCAAAGTCACAGACACTATCGCGGTGTGTTCTCGTGTTTACAAGAACTGACTGCATCCCTGCGTGGAGCCCTGCCTCCGACGGGAGACCTGCCACCTGCTTCCTGCGAAGACGAGTCCTCCCCACGCTCACGGATGTCTGCGCGGGGATTGCCTCATTCCCTCCCCGAGAAGGTTCGGGGAGGGGCCGGCACACACCCGGCACACGCACTCGGCAGAGCACCACACTTGCTGTGCTGCCATCAATTTTTAATTTATTGGATCCAAGAGAAAATAACAACCGTGGGGGGAGGGGATGAGAGAGAGAAGGAATCGTGCTTGGTGGAGGCGATAATCCGGGACCAGAGGGCGCTGGGAGGCACGAGGGGCTCCGTGACGTTCTCCCAGCACAGGATGA